TTATGTGCTGACCAATAATTAAAAAGAATTACTTATACTACTTGATATTTAAATCGTGATATATTCACGGCGCACAAATATATGGAAAGCATCGGTTTAAAAAAATAAATTGTCAAAAGAGCAGTAAAGCAAAATAGTAAATCAAATAGCACGACACAAAACGTAGGCGCAGGTAATAATACACGTACGTTGAGACCGACAGGTTCTCGATCCTGAACAACGATCGATGCTCACAGGTCTTTATTTTTTACCCCCTCTTTCATGCAAGTCCATCATGCTTGCTCCTCTGCTATTCGTTCGCGCTTTCGATCCGTGATCCATGCGCATGTCAACGACGTCGGCTCCCTCAATGCAGGATCCCGCGCTACCCTTAGGTGGGGTGATCCCGCTTCCGTTTGCTTCATGTTTTACTTCATTGCGAAGTGGACAAGGCCTTGTGAGCATGTTTTGTCTTCACGTTCTAATGCTTTACCGCAAGTCGATTGGCATTTCCGTTTGTTTCAAAGACGTTAATACCGCAAAGGAGTTTGCAACAATCAGCTTGACCATCTGTTCCCTTCTGGACGACCCCTTTTTTAAGTCTTATACATAAATATGTTACGAGTACTTGCAAGACGAACTGTTGAAACATACATCTTATCTAGCGATATTTCCTTTTTTATTTATTGTATCGATAAATACATCCGCTATATCTTTTATCTTGATCTTATATCTTTAGTTTGTTATATTTCAATAATATTTTCAGTAATAATCTAAGTTATATAAAAAAATAAAAATTATTTTTAGTATAATAGTTTTTGACATATCTCTGATTATGTGCTTTCTTTAGCAGTCAAATGACTGAATAATTATAATAATATACAGATGCTGCATATTGGTGGGCAAATAGATCTTATGCAACAGCAAGTGGGAGAAATTTCTCCCAAGAAATATGATGAATATTTATCCACTAACATTGTGAGATCCTTGATTAACAAGCATCAAAAGATTATTGATTTCTCGGAAAATATTGAGAGCCTTTTTTCTCATATTGCATTGATGCAACTCTTTTCAAATACGATGATCATATGTTGCATCGGGTTTCTCATAGTAACCGTGAGTATTTGACATCTGCAAACATTAAAATTGTTGTTTC